TATTATTATTTCGCTTTTTTCACAAACTAGGGAACATCGTTTGCAGCAGCTCATTTCTTGATTGTCAAAAGTTTTCAACCTGCTTTAATGAGAAAAATATTTAAATGCAGCGACGTCTCCAAACTCCTCTATACTCTCCACCTGAATCGCTGACGATGGATGTCACCGATCGTCAGCGCCACAAGCGGAGAAAATATTAACTAGCGTCTATACGCTCGGTCTCATAGAGAGAGATAGTTGGCGGACGGCCTTACTAGCGAAGCGATCAAGTGGCCTTGGTACTGTACTGCACAGTAATTGTACATTTAAAAATATTAGATTGTGGTGCCATCTGTTAACATCATTTTAAAATAGAATTATCTTCTATTATTTTAATAACTAAACTCTTTATTCATTTATAAAATTTAAAAATAATTCCGAAAATGAATTAATAAATTGTTATTTTCAGTTTTAAAGCTTTATTTTAAATAATTATGTTATATTTATTAAATTTATTTACATGGATATCCTCTTTTTGTAATCTAATCAGATTTAATAAGATGAATCATACTTCACTTCCTTTTCTTTATTATTTTAAACCTAATTTTAATTTGTAATTAAGAACAAAAACAGAACTAAATTAAAATTAAATTAAACTATTATTTATGAAATTGAAATTTAAAAGCTTTATTTTATTTACAAATTTTATATTTTTCTATCAAATTTATTTGAAAAATTAAAAATAATAAAATAAATTTTCTAAATTTATTTAAATTAAATGTTTTTATGATGGTAAACTATTTATAGACTTTTTTTTTACTTTACTGGTTTCTTTTATGTACTTAATTATATTTTATATGCATTATTTTATAAGCTTTATATGTAAAAGTATAAAATATATAATAAAATAAAATATATATTTTATATTTGATACTCAATCGCTTTTAAAGATAAACAATCACTAACGAGTAAGTAAATTGGATGAGGGAGCGATTAGGCCGCCATCTTTTGTTAAATTCAATAATTATAAATAAAGGCGAAATTTATTTAGCCTTGTTTGTATGATACTTGAATTTAAAAATGTTTAAGTTGAAGGTTTATTAATTATAGTTATTATTATTAATTAATTAATTTTGAATCATATTGAGATGGCTATATTATTAGTCTGTTATTTTATAGTATAAAATAATATAAAAAATATATTTATTTATATTCTAACATATATTTAACAACTTCTGTTTAATTGTTATAATGGGGAGGTCTTTATTTTTTTATGTGATATCGTTTTACATTCAATAAAAAAATAAATAAATAAATATTTTTATTATTTACCATTCATTATTGTTTGCATTTAATAATTCTTAATTTAATTACATTTAAAATTATTTTCTGCTATTGTACAGTATTTAGTCTATTTTTGAATCTCCTAATTGATTCGTTCATGTTATTGGAGTTTAGACTTTAGACAGGAAATAACATCTAAATCCTTAATCAATAAATATAACGTATCACCAGATTTAAAATACAATCATATGATTTAAGCGATCAGATGATAAATTTTTCTAACAGTCATTGTTCATTTGTGAAGTTGTCAACCGTTCATACAGCAGTTTATAATGCTTTTGTACCTTATTTTCTTCCTATTTTTAAGTTTCCAAAGTTCTACTGGTGATTGCGGATATGAAGTAAGTTTAATATATTACAATTTTTTCAATATAGGTTGGCTGAAAAAGTCAGTTAACCTTTGTAAAATCTAAATTGTTCTCGTATTCAAATGCTTTAATACTTTGTTTTTAATACGCACTCCATTACTTTCATGAACAAGTAAAACATACAAAAAATAAACCGTTAACTGAATTTTGAGCCAACCTGTATATAAATATTGACATTTTTTGTTTAAATTTTCGTACTTTACTTAAATTATCTTTATAGTCCTGTCCTGCTGGTGAACCCGATATGCTAAACGTTCACATTATTTGTCATACTCATAACGATGTTGGATGGTTAAAAACAGTTGATCAATATTATTATGGAGGTAATTTTTAATATTAATTAATTATTTATTTATTTTTAATAAGTTTTAAATAATTTTTAACTAAGTTTGTTGTGAAAATAATATCAATTAGAAAATGAAAGTATTATTTTGTTTATATTAATTAAATCATATAAACAAGAATACTTTCGTTTTCCAATAGATTATAAAAGTTATGAATACATCATTATAAAAATATATTTTGGTACAGAATTGTACAAAATAGTACAATTCTGTATAGGTTTTGTATGAGAAGAAAATACATTGCTATAAAACTCCATATTGAGCACAAAACATAAGACAGTTAACTCATTTTTGGACCAAACTATTTATGTAAATTTTTAGAATAATTATTATAACCATAATATCATCATCATCATCATCATCAATATTTATTAGTATAAAGAGTTATAACCATAAAATTAATATTTTAGAACTTCTACACAGTTTCATCTAAAAATAATGCCAAATTTATGTAAAATTGTAAAANTTATAGCTTGGAATTTTGCATTTTCAACGTAATATTTTGTTCCATTTTTTGTCTTTTCATAATTCAAATCAGATACTTAATTAACAATGACAACGGCTCCCGAATGCATTGCACATCCTGAACACCCTGCCCTGTAGACGCAAAGAGTTCAGGATGTGCAATTTCGCGTAAACTTTACTTCAAACGAACACAGGGCATCGTAAGCTATCCTGTGTTCGTCTGAAGTAAAGTGTTCAATTTCAACATATTCATAAGGCCATTTCCAATAAATATTTTTCTTATGTAAAATAAGAACACTATTAAAAAAACAAAAAAAGCTGGTAGGTGCTCCTGTATCACTTTCCTGCATTGAAACAGGAAGTGAAAAGAAAAAGATTGTGTGGGCGCCATCTGTTTATGAGATTTTATTATAAAAGAATTTGTTATATTAAATGTTATAAATGACAAAAACCTTACTTTGGGATAGAGATGATTTTTTTAATTTTAAATGCTAATAAGATATAATTTTTTTAATAAGTCTGAACCCGCTCGATATATGACATTCTACCCTATATAAAAGTACAGTATTCTTGTCAAATTTCAAAGGAGAGAATTGGATAAGACGATGTTGTTTGATTAAAAGGAGTTCTAGCTGTGTAGCTCAATACGTGCTTCTATTTACTATTTAAACTAGTCTATTATGAAATACATCATCTTACCCAGTTGTATTCATTAGTTCAATACACATCGACTAGTGTTTCATTTTCAGGGGAAAAACTGCTTTTCGGTTGCTTTTTTTTATAAAACTTCCGTTGACCTATATTATATAGGTCCCCATTCAAAATTTAATAGCATCAATGTCCCTTATACACAAGCTACCATATGAAATTTTGAAAAATAATTTTGAAGAAACAAAATTTCATATGGTAGCTTGTGTATAAGGGACATTGATGCTATTAAATTTTGGTAGGTAAAGATCAAGGAGGTAAGGAGATCATGGGCACGTTTTGAGAGGGATTGGACTTAATCAAGGTTTTACTCGTTATTGGCATTTACAATTTTTTTTTTTTTTACAAAACTTGTGTCTATATCCTCAAAATTAAGCGTTTTGCCATTTTATAACAATAAATAGTATAAAAGGTTATTATGATAAAATCTCATAACAGATGGCGCCATATATGCTTTATTTATTAATAGTATGATTAATACTGTAATATAAAAGTTATTTTTAAAATGTTTGTTTGTTAAGTTATGGCAACGCGACACTTGGGCGATCTGCCTAGGGGGATGCCTTCCGGGAGGTCTTTTTAAGTGAAACTGGCCCCTATTTAGACGTTACAGACGTGCAGGAAACCCGGAAAACTCCACGTGGCCAGCCCGTCCGAGCGAGGCGAGAGTGCACGACCGAACTCCCAGTGTCAGGGTACGAAGACCGTTCGGCCACTGGTGGGCTATTTTTAAAATAAAATCTCTCAACAGCCGGGAAAGTGAAGCAAACTCGTTGCTGAATTTTTTGTAATTATTCAGAGCACCGACCGACAAAAAGTAACTTTTAAAAGAAATACCAAATTTAGTATTGTTTAAACTATCTTTTCCCATTCGATTGATGTATCATATAAACTTAATTTTTTGTGTTGCAAAGTTTCTCAAATTAGTTGTCAATTTGATTAAACGATGTATCAATGAGAGTATAACGATGTACCAATGGGATAATATAAACTATCTGTTGCTAGTTTATATTATTATTTTTATAAATCAAATGTATGTCTGCACATTGCCAAAGAAAAAGGAATAGAAAATCTTGGTCAGAAACGAATATGAAAGGAGCCATTTGCGGTAATTAGAAACATGGATTATCCGAAAGCTTCCAAAGAATTCAACATTTCCCAAACGAATTCTACTTTGGCTTGGAGCATTCTTCTACCCACGTAATTTTTTTTCATAATATGCTTTACTTTTGTAGACTTGTCTTCTAAATCTTCTTTTACATTTTTATTAGTTTAGCAGTTTCACTTACACTATCATGTTTATTCATGTCCAATCATAATCACTCGAAGCATCCATCGAATCATTTTCATTTCTGTCACATTCATTGTCTTTTCCGAAGATTTTTTTATGTGCCAAGTTTCAGCCCCCATATGTCTTTGCAGATATAATCACAATCTTAGGGGCCGTTCAAGTATTAGGCCATATCAGCAAAAACTATCCGCACTTTGATCGTTATCTCTCATCATCACTAGTCATTTGAAATCAAGTTATTAAAACCTCCCCAGGCCAAAGTTAAAACCATTTGCAAATATACAGCAACTACGTGTATTTTAGACAATTTTCAGTTGACTACAGAGAAAATAAGATGGATGCAGTCTTACGTCAATAAAGACACACTATTCACTCTCTATCATCGGATATAAACGAATCCCCTCGCCCATGGTTTTTAAATTTTCTTTATTTCATTTTTTCAATGATGATGTGTATTTTGAAATGCATATCATCATTGAAAAAATTAAGTAAAGTTGTATCAGGTCATGTGCTGGTTCTGTCTTTTTAAAAAGAATACATAAAGAAAAATACGTAAAATAAAAATTCTTAATTGCGCTCTAAGTCCGCCAGATTTTAAGGTACATAAAGTCTCGCAGTATGTCGCAAACTCTCATTCTGGGAATGCGTTATTGTGTTTTGTTTGTTTTTATTGAGATAACGCAATACGTAGGCGATCTGCCGAGGGAAGACTGCCTCCCGGGAAGAATATGAGAAACTGGCCCCTATTAGATATTAACGTAAAAGAACTCGGAAAACTTTACGTGGCCAGCCTATTGGCAATGCACGAACCATGACCACCTACCAGTATTCAGTGATTTTATCCACTCGATCGTTGGTGGGCAATGCGTTACTGTGACTCATTTTTTTTTTTAATTTGCACTAAACATTGGGACTATAATCAGTCTTGTCCAGAGTTCTCGTTTGTAACACAACGTGTCCGTATGATTGATCCATTCTTCTTTTTATTTCTTTTATGCTAATTACTTTGCAAACAAGGATCCAAAATTTTAGGGTAGTGATGCTGATAACCATGGATAGCCTCCTGGGATCGAGTAATAAATTCCATAAATTATAATTGTAAAAATTATTGAAACATATCTCAATCAGTTTTGATATTAGTGATTGAGATATGATGTCTCATGGATCAAAGATGTAAGGTTACCACCTTCGACCCATGGGACACTTTGAAGCAAAACTGTATTCTGTAAACTATTTGTAAAAAAAATAATAATGTATTGATGTAATTTTTTATCTCCTAGCTTAGCCCCAGGAAAATTTTTGTGGACGCCAAAGAAAATCCGTAAACGGTCTACTTTAGAGGAAAAATTTAAAGTTTTATATTTACTGAAAAAAGAAAAAAGTCGGCTTTAGAAAATTTTTTCAAGTTATTATTAAGATTTTCGGTATCATGTTATTTATTAGTACAGTAGAGCCTCGATTATCCGACCCCCGATTAACCGGCACTTCGGTTAACCGACCGTCCTAATCGGCAAATTTCAAATGTCCGCTAGTGATGTGGCGCTACAATATTTGACTACGTCTTGGCTACTTTAATATTATTTTTACGTGTTTTAGCTGGCAACACTCATTCGACCATGAAAGGGAGCCAGTATTTAAACAAGGCTTAATTTTCTAATTTTTAACGATACAATAGAGACGATTAATATTTTAAAAAATTTTTGTTATTCTTAACATCGATGAAAATTCAACGCAAAGTAGGTTAATAGCGATATACTAATATACTAATATACTAATTACATGAGATATAATAATACAGTCGACCCCCCTATAAGATCATAGATACGTTCCATTTTTTAGGAATCCGATTTCTTACGAGTCGTTCCAATCACAGCCCGACACGTGTAAAGTTTACTGACTACGGCTGATTGAAAGGTTTTCTTCCATAAAATTAATCGATTATAGACTAATCCGACTCAACATTTCCAAAATACGTATATTTTTTTTGGAAATAATCCATATAAACTATGCTATAAACAAAAAATTGTAGGATTACTTACCGAGTGTGCACCATTCGAC